ATAGATAGATAGATAGATAGATAGATAGATAGATAGATAGATAGATAATAAAGCAAAACAGTACAAGGATATTTGTTAAAGGCATCGGGGAACTATTTATTCCAGGATCCCCTGCCCCTTAAGGGAGCAGGCCCCTAGGTGTTCCAGCCACCTAATTTCATAGCCTCTTTCCATTGCTATCAAAGGCATTACCATGGCCAGCAGCTACAACTCCAGATCTAGACTAACTGCTAAAAATAGAGATAAGTCCATGGAGCCCCAAAAAACCTCTATGGCAGAAGAGAAAGATGCACACAGACACCATCAGAAAGGCAGGTGGAAAAATGTACACAAGCAGCTGCACAGCCCACCTCTTCACCACTCATCATACCCTCTACCTCACAGGCTCAGAACCCTCCAACCGCCCTTCTGGATTTATCCAGAAGGAGCAGCATATTGATACAACCTCCCCAGAAGGCTCTTTCTAACATTCTCTCCCCAAGGAGGGCCCCAGAGGCAACATTTACGCCAACTGCAGCTGGCCTCAGACAAGAGGAGGAACTTCCGGAGGAAATCCCTGCCAACATGAGGGCGTGGAAGGAGCTAGCTATCCAGAAGGGCATAGCAGCAGGCGTCCAACAGACTATTCAGGCAGGACGAACACCCTCAGCTTCGGGTTGCAGTTCTCTTTCTGAACGATCTCTGGGCATCACGGATCCACATCTTCATCAGGTACCCCCCCCCCCCTAAAACATCCATTCCCCCTGTCAGAGACCCCCAGTATACACAGGATATGGGAGATCAAGGGGATCCAATGGATCAAATGGAGGAGGGGTCAGTACACACCGTTGACCAGGTATTGTCAGAGGTGGATCCGCTAGAAAGGGGGATGTCTGACGATGAAGGCCTCTCACCTGACCTCCCTCTATTTACAGGATTATTCCACCCACGATTATTTAAATCCCTGCTGTTTAAGGCACAACTGGATAATACGGGTACCCCTCCCCCACCAAATACTCCAGGGGAAGCAGAGGATCTCATATTCTCTCAACCAGTCACTGAGGCAGAGGCTATCCCTGTGCCACACATGTTTTCCAATTTAGTACAAAAACAATGGGCTGCAGCAGCCTCATATCCCACTCCCACAGGACATGATAAAAAAATACTATAATTTGGCCCCCGAGTTCTCTAAATTTCTAAACACTCCAGAAGTGGATGAGCCTATCATTGCGCTTGCATCTTCCTCAGCCATCCCAAGTGAGAGCTGAAGAGGCTCTCAAGCCTGAGGAAAAGAGGGTGGAACTAGCCCTCCGCAGGGCACACGTCTCGGATGCATGGGCCATCAGAGCAGCCCACAGCTGCCTCCTTTTTCACCAGATCATCTCTCAGATGGCTCCACCACCTGAGGGATACCATTCCAGCCTCAAACATTAGGGCACATCAAGATGTGGCTAAATTAATTGCTGCTGCAGAGTTTTCACAGATGCTACCTTCAATGTAGTTAAATTTTCCTCTAGGGCCACTGCTTCCCAAATTGCAGCTAGAAGGTTACTTTGGCTCAGGCATTGGCAGGCAGATGTCAAGCACAAGTGGAGGCGTGCCTCAGCTCCCATCGGAGAACAAACTATTTGGCAGTGCGCTTGAACCCCTCCTAATTGAAACCAGAACCAAAAAGAAAATTCTTCCCTCTCTTTTTCGTCGATCAGAGTCCAGATCACCACAGCCCTTTCGTAGGGATTCCTTTCGCCCCTTCTACCAACCCTACTATCCAAGATTTCAAAGACAGCCTGGATTCAGACAACAGACAAATAGAATTGAACCTGGGGACAGATATAGAAAGGAACTCCATCCTAGGAGACAATTTCGAGGAACAGGATCTAGGCCTTTCCGCAGGTCCAAGTAACTACCACAATGAGATTCCCATTGGTGGTCGCCTAAAAAGGTTTGCCGACCAATGGGACTCCTCTACCACTGACACATGGGTCAGGAACACAGTACGATTTGGTCTGGCACTGGAATTCAGCTCCACCCCCCTGGATTTTTTTATGAAGTCCCCAATTTCCAGGGACGCAGAAAAAAGGTTTCTCATGGACACAGCCATAGCACATCTCCTAGAGATCTGGTCCATACAACCCGTCCCTTCTAATCAAAAAGGTCTTGGTTTTTATTCGCACCTCTTCATGGTCCCTAAAAGTTCAGGGGGATGGAAGGCAATCCTGGACTTAAAACGCCTAAACCAATATTTAGTTTACCGAAAATTTAAAATGACCACTCTCCAATCCATCTTACTCAGCATCAGAAAAGACGATGTCCTTACCTCCATAGACCTCACGGAAGCTTATTTACATATCCCAATTAGGCCCCCACATTTCAAATTCCTTTGTTTCTGTTACAACAACGTCCATTAGGAATATATTGCTCTCCCATTTGGCCTAGCTTCAGCTCCCAGAACTTTTACAAAGATCTTGGCTGCCTTGGCAGCATCACTCAGAGATAGGTCCATCCGAGTTCAATGCTACTAGGATGACATTCTTATTCTGGCATCTTCCATCAATCAAGCAAATTCAAACACTCAAACTACACTTGTAACCCTATAACTACATGGGTTCTCAATCAATTGGTCAAAAAGTCATTTAACACCCTCTACTAGACTCATTCACCTTGGCGCCATCATTGACACCTTGGAAGGCAAAGTTTTCCTCTCCCCTGACAGACAAGAAAGCATTAGAGATTTGGCTCAACAGATCAGAACTCTTAGGAAAGTACAACTATGTCTCCTTTCTAAATTGCTCGGAAAAATGATTTCTTGTATTTCTATTATCCCTTGGGCCCGGTTCCATGCAAGAACCCTGCAATGGTTCCTGTTGCCATACCAACGTGCCGGGAGAGACGACGCCAGGACTTGCGTAAAAGTGCCATCAACCGTTCTCAGGTCTCTACAATGGTGGACACAACCCGAAATCAACAAGGGATGCCCTTTCAAGGACCCACACAGGTCGATTGTTACAACAGATGCCAGTCTAGTGGGATGGGGGCCCACTTCCAATTACATACAGTGCAAGGCCTTTGGACGGATTCAGAGAAGGCACACAATATCAACTGGCTAGAACTGAGAACGGTGTACTTGGCACTTCGAGAATTCCTCCCGCATCTCCATTGCAAACATGTGCTCGTCTTAACAGACAACGTAACTACAAAGGCCCATATCAACAAACAAGGAGGCACTCATTCCAATCTATTAATGAGGGAAGCAGAAAGACTATTCCTGTGAGCCAAAATCCATCTTCTGTCTCTAAAGGCGGAGCACATATCTGGAGTAGCGAATGTATAAGTGGATTGGCTCAGCAGAGCCACGTTGGACCAATCAGAGTGGCGTTTGGACCCCAAGATCTTTCTGGAGGCTACTGGGAGGTTGGGCCAACTGGTAGTCGACCTGTTTGCCTCCCCACTCAATGCACAGCTTCCACGATTCATTTCTTGTTACCTATCGCAGGGGGCGGAGGACATGAACGCACTCAGATGTCACTGGCCCATCGGACTATATATGCCTTTCCTCCACTCTCCGTGATTCCCAAATTGATTCAGAAGTTGCTGGAAGAAAAAGTGGACCTGCTATTAGTGGCTCCTTATTGGCCATGGCGAGCATGGTTCGCGGACTTGAAGGACCCCTCGTCAGTACCACCGTGGAGGATCCCATCATCGGTCATATTGCTATCTCAAGGCCCAGTGCTACACCAGACCCCCAATGGCTAAACTTAGCTGTATGGAAGGTGAACGGCGACGTCTGAGAGATGAACTCCTTTCTACTCAAGTTATTCACACTATTCAGTTGGCTCAATGTCCTTCGACGAACCAAATCTATGAGGCCACCTGGTCTAGCTTCTGCCGTTGGTGTCAGAAGGTTCAGATCGACCCCACTTCCCCATCAGTAGTGCAGTTATTAGAATTTTTACAGGAGGGCCTAAACAAAGGGTTATCACCCAATACTCTGTGGAGACAGGTGGCGGCCCTGGCTTCGGTCATATCTTGGGATGATTTTACCTCCATATCTCATTACCCTCGCATTCACAGTTTTCTGCGCGGTGCCAAGAACTTGAGGCCCCTCATAGTGCACTGATATCCAACTTGGGACTTAAATAAGGTACTATTGGCCCTTAATACAGGTCCCTTTGAGCCACTAAGGACCACGACACTTTGATTTCTAACCTACAAAGTAGTTTTCCTGATAGCAATTACATCTGCCCGAAGAATCTCCAAACTAGCTGCATTATCGGTGCTCAAAGATCTCTGCATTTTCCATTCGGATAGAGTGGTTCTCACACCAGATCCCTCCTTCATTCCAAAAGTTAATTCGGCATTCTATAGAGCTCAAGAGCTGGTGCTCCCAAATTTTTGCTCATGTCCATCACACAGGCTCAAACACCAATGGCACCACTTGGACGTAAGAAGAGCCTTAAGCATGGTGCATGGTGCCCTCCAGAAAGACAGAAGCCCTCTTCGTGTCTTTTCAACCTAACACCCTGGGGCACAAGGTTTCAACCTCTACCATAGGTAGATGGCTAAGGGCCACCATCGCTAAGTCGTATGACTCTCACTTGATTCCAGTGCCCCAAGGCGTTACCGCTCACTCCACCAGGAGTGCAGCCACCACAGCAGCATGGGCGACCCAAGCTACAATAGAGGAGATTTTCTGAGCTGCAACCTGGGCTTCTCCATCTCCATTTATTAGAAATTATAAAATTGACGTATTTGCTTCTGTTGAGGCTTCATTTGGTAGGTGAGTTTTGCAGCAAGTTATTTCAGAGACAGTTAGGTCTGCAACCCAGATGGAGTCCCTCCCTTAGGACAGTGCCAAGCTTTGGTATGTCCCATCACTGGATGCTCTGAACAGCTCATGGGAGAAAGGGCATTGATATGCCCGTTCTCTGTGAGCTGTGAAGAGCATCCAGCCCCTCCCTTTTATTCCATCTGGTAGGGGGTCTGTTCCGGCCAGGGTTGTTACATAGGCTTAAGCATATAGGGTATCAATACCTTGGCTTTGCAAAAATGGGGTTGCTAAGGAGGAGTCTTGTGGAGGAGGAGGAGTGTCCTCAAGTTTAAGCCCAGCCTTCCTAGAAGGGACTGAAGCACCTTCCTATCACTGGATGCTCTTCACAACTCACAGAGAACGGGCGTATCAGGTAAGTACCCTTTCTGGATGCCCGTGGCTTACTGGTTTATTGCGTTTGATATCACTATTTTTTATTACATCTCATTTCTCTAAATAGTATGAATAACAGAGTTGGAAGAGACCTTGGAGGTCTTCTAGTCCAACCCCCTTGCACTCTTGATGTAGCTGGAAGGCAGTATATAGGTAGGAAAAGATTTGTTAGCTATTTATATATCTCTTATTTTCACATGAAACCAGAAAGTATTTTTTTAATAAAGTTTTATTTGGGTTTTCACACATACAAATTACAACATCTTTTTTGAAAATAGCATGGTCCCGGGTTGAACTTCTTTATACAGACACAAAACTCAATTTCATGCTCCTTTTTGTATTCTATTCCATATCTTATACTATTTTACATTTTCTATATAGTTTTTCCCCTCTTTTAATTTTCTCAATTTTATTTTGATTATCTCATCTCAATTCAAATCATTATATTTATACTTTTGTCTGTTTTGTTTCAATTTCATATTATCTTTTCTCATTAAACAAATTTTCTCCTGTAGTTACTAATTGGAGTATGACACCTTTATATCTTTTAATTACATCCATTCAACTCTTATTTAAACTTCAATATATACCTTAAGTTTATGACCTTCAATATAATACATAACTTCCAATTGAATTCTGCTTGGTACATTCTTATAATACTATATATTATATATAATAATATATATTCTTTAAAAAAAAGAAAGAAAGATTGTAAATATATGTAATTATAAACCCTCATTCCATTCCAGTTCAGTTCTATCATTAATAATCATTAAAATCTTAACATCTTTAACACTTCTTTTCAATTAAATATCATACTTCCTTAAAAACACATATAATCTCCATAATTAATTTTTCCCTTATTTCTCTTCACATGTGTTTTATAAATCATTAAATATACCTTTTGTTACATTTATTTATTGACAAGCATTCCACTGAATTACGGTAGCTATTTTATCAGACATTTTAATCATATATTGTTTCATATTTTCTAAAATTATTTCTGCTTCTAATATAACCATACTATCTTATGTACCTTTGCAGAATCCCTTTTTCCATTAAGTTTTCACCCATTATCTCTAAATAGGCCCTGTTTCTCTATATTTTGCTTCTGTCCTTTATAACTTCTTTTCCTTTCTTTCTTCCTTTTCATCTTCTCCCTCCCCTTTTTACCCCCTTGTCTCTCTAGTTCTACTTCTCTCTTCTGCATTTCCCTCTTCTGTTGCTTTCTGATTTTATACTTATTTTTCATTCTATTTTTTTTTTGGAGTTGTTTTTCCCAATCTTAAACTTTCCATTCTCTTTCCCCCCTTTCCTTTTTTCCCCACATCTAAGATTACTTGTTCATTAAAGATGGCTTCTTCTTTGTTGCGATCTTCTTGTTCTGCGGGCATTTCTTGTTGTTTCTCATAATTCCAAATCTCCATTTCTAAAAACTGAAATGCGAAACCAAAAGAACCTCTCCCTTCTTATGCATCTTCTTTTTTAAGTTCCATTTTCAGTTCTTCTAAAAGTGGAGCCATTTTAAACAGTTTTAAACAACCACCCGATTTATTTTAGTCATTCAAAACAATAACCAAGAATCCCGAAATCATCAAGTAATCCAGATAGTCCCGAGTTACCGTATATCTTCTTATTTCTTTTTCGACTTTCTCTTCCTGGGGTTTTTGTTGCGATATTTCAGTTAGAATGTATCTTTTGGAAGTCTTGTTGAGATTTTGCTGTAAGTTCTTTTTTAATTCCAGGCAGTCTCCTCCCTTCCAGATCCTACCCTTTCATTCTTTTTCTCTCCTTTCCTGTTTTCAAAAGCTTTTAATTATCCAGAAATCTTTATTATCCCTTTGACTTTTTATTTTCAGCATTAAATGCCTATTGATGTCAAAGTGGATTTTTTTCCAATTTCTTGCTTAAGTCTCTTAGCTGTCAGTATAGGAAAAGGAGAAAACCAAATCTTTTCCCTTTTCTCTCTCCTTCGCAGCTTAAAAATCTTCTTTGGGAACAATGTTATTGTTTTTTAACAGTTTCAATTCCAGGGTACCTTATTTGTTGCTTTTGCTGTTTGACCCGGTCAACCAAAACTTTCTCTTCTTATCTTCCTCCTGCACATTCCTTTCCGGTCGAGTTCTTCTTTGTGGTGGCCATTTCTGACCAACGCTGCAACCGCCTTCGGGAAAGGGAGTAATGGCCAGCTGGGGAGGAGAGATGCAGCTCTCCTCAACCCTGCAGGCAGTCTCCCCCCTCTTCACCACCTCTATGGGGTGGCTTAGCCCCGAAACCAGCCGGCTCGGGGTGCTCCAGTGGCGAGCACGGATCGAAGCCTTGCAGAGATGAGGTTTCGGTCTGTCGCTGAAGAAGCTCAAACCGGAAGTCCCGAAACCAGAAAGTATTTTGTGTTCTTTTGAACACTGTTTTATATTAGGATCACCAAAATGCATGTCAGAAAAGTAAATTTGTCACTTAACTGCTTACAGCTACATCTTTCAGTGAACTGAAGAATGTGCTATAGAATAATTCATTTTAACAATATAGACATTTATATTTTGCTTCCCTCAGTTGTTCCTTTAAAACTGATTTTGCAACAGGATACAGCCTGTGCTCAAGACTAGCTGGAAATTGTCCACGCATTCATGACCAGAGTATCACAACTTGATAATTGCATGGCCAGCTACAATCAAGTTTTGATAAGTTTAGGAACATTTTTATGAAATATTTAAAGGGGAAGGAGGTTTTTTATGGTCTTTAATTAAATAACACACCTATAATTATCTGCTAGGAGTGAAAAGTATTAGACTTGCTGAAAAGAGACTTCTTGACAATCAGTTTCAGTTCTTCAGTCCTACTTATCCCCTTGCATAGAGAAATTCAATTTTTTTAAAAAATTGAGACATTTATTTATCTTTGTTTATTTACTTTATATCTCATCTTTCTACTTGTCTGAATACTTAAAATGGCTAACAATAATTAAAATACAGAATATAAATATGAAAGAATAGAAATTAAATGTAATGCTAAAAGCCCATTAAAAGAATTCATCTTGAGCCAAAATGAACTTGAATTTACATCCCTTGAAGTTTGCATTCTTCAATTCCTACGCATGGATTTGTATTCATTTGTATCAGGGCTAGTAACATAGTTGCTGTAAATTAACCTATACTAAATGAAACACTTTAGTATTGTTGGTGTACTGGACTGTATATCCTTCTGAATTTTCTAAGCATGAATTATTACAACTGTTTTCTTACAGAGTATATTCAAACCATCATGATGATGGAGGAATCTGTTCAACATGTGGTTATGACAGCCATTCAGGAGGTAAGGAGTTAAAAGATACACATCTTAGTTATATAGTGGAACTGGTTTCCAGAATTCATACTGTGTGAACCTTTAACAGTTCAGAAATATGATCAGATGAGGGATGAAATATTTTTAAACATAAATTAATGATATGTTCCACTTTGCTTTTATGTAGAATATTTACATTTCTGAATACTTGGTCCCCCTCTTATATTCCCTTTCCTATTAATTTCCACCAAATCTTTGAATAGGAGCATATTTAGCAGTAGATATTTTTATGACTGAATTTCATTATTATCAATGAAATAGGGAAGGCTCAATAACTTGGAAAATCTTTGTGAACTTTCCTGTGAATAAATACCACTGAATTGATTGGTATGTACTGGGTGGTGTGCTGACAAATGTATAACAACTATTGCTGCTATCATGTCTATGGAGATTCTCAATCATCCAGGTCATGGTAGTCCCAAAGGTGCTTTTTCAAGAGGCAACTGTAGAAAACCCAGTTGCCTCTTGAAAACATGCTGTGCAACAAGCTGCCAAACAACTGATCAGCATGCTATCTTATCGTGGCTTAGCTCTGCTCTCAAACTGACTCACAAAATCCCCCCCCCCCCCAAAAAAAGACTCTTGCAAACTGGTACAAGCTGGCTCATGAAATTGCCCCTCCAAAATTACATGCATAGAGGAAAAAAATATATTTTATAGGTCTTTTCTGAACTTGGTTTTCTTCTTGGATACATTTCATTTCCAGACTATATAACGATATCACTGCTCTAACATTGATGTCGTTTTCTGCTATTGTTTTGCAACTTATCTTACCAGGCTTGTATCAGTTTGAGCAGGAGGAATGTATTGCTTCTTCTTGATTCCATGCTATTCTCTGGTGCTTGTTGGGGTGATTAGGTGCCCACTTCAAAGCTCTGACAATGTTACCTAGTCTGGTAATGAAATATCTGCAAGAAGGAAATCAAGTTCAGAAAACATCAATAGCCCAACAGTTCAACCCTATATATTTACATTTGTGGTTTTGTTTTATTTTTGTTTCTTGAATCCTGTAGTATGTGCAGTAGTAGTTAACAGTGTATTGGTTTTATTATTTCACTGGAATACAAATGTAGAGCGTGACCATGTTTCTGGTCATGTGTATCCAGTACAAACAAGTTTCTTGGTTGGTTTTTTGGGAGTGGGGATAAAGAGGTAGTATACTAAGTAAATCTCTAAGATCCAACCTGCACTAATACGATAGCAGAGAATCAATAGCAAGGATTCAAAAGATGATAGTGCAGTTGAGGCACTACTTCCCTGAAATTAATGGAAATAATAAAACAAAAGATTTTCAAGCGCAAAATATACTGCTACATATTCCAACGGTCTTCTTCCTTCCTGTAGAATGTCTATTCGCAATTGCCATTCAGTAATACCACCACTTGAAATCCTTTTTGCAAATCAAGTTTCATTTATTACTATTTTTTTTAAAAAAGCTGGGGAATTAATTTTATTACTCTCCGATGTACCCTGTATCTTTTTTTAAAAAAAAATGTTTATTCAAAATTTCTAAAATTTCTAAAAAAGAGAAACATGTTCTCACATTTGGCAGCGTTATCGTAACAGTATACATATCTATTAGTGTCAATTAAATTCATTTACTACAAATATATCTACAACTTATTTATTAAATCCTTACTTATTTATATTATTATATTACAATAATTATTTATTTACATTACTTTACATATATACATAACTATATACACATTCGTCCTTATTCCTATTTTTCCTTAGAATTTCTTTAATCATTTTCACTAAACATCTTTACTTCCTTTTTACTCAGCCATTTGTACCATATATTCCATATTATAAAGAAAACTCCTTCTTCCTTATTTTTTAATAGCATGGTTAATCTAATCATTTCTGCGCATTGGTGAATTTTATTGATTACTGCCAGGTCTGTGGGGATGTACCCTTTATCTTACTGAATAGCAGTATATTTGGTAATAACAATATTTTTTCTCTTCTGTGTGGGCAACTTTAGTTTATGAACAGTATAAGCATTTGTAGCAATAAATTACAGAGTAGTAAAGAGATCTTGCAGTGATGGAGGAATTATTTTATGCCTCAATAAATAAGGCGTTAATTATAATTTTTAGTGAAGTAAAAAAAGAGGAACTAATGTGCTGTCCAGCCAGTATATGGGAATTGGATAGTTAGGTAGCAATTGTGAGCTGTACCCTTAAGGGAATGCATCATGGTAAATGTAGTTAAGGTATCCTGGGAAATGTAGTCCATGTAACGTGATCACATCTGTAATCCTAATTGGTCACTAAATTGACCCTCGATGGGTTGGGGGAGTTTTCCTCACTCTTGGCTGAACTCATGGACTCATGGTAACTGTTCTACTTCTATCGTTACAAGATGGGAGAAAAAGGATAGGAGATAAACCATCTTTTTACCTACAAGACAGATATGCAAAGGATTGGTCATTAAAGAACTTCGTCACAAATGTGAGTTATGAGGATACCTGATGAACCAATAAAAGTACTTTGCTATGGATGTTTTGTGGAGTTTATCTGCATCTGTACAGGATACAGAATAGTAAAAAGATGGTTATTTGAAGTCCTGAAGCCCATCAGTATAAAGACAATTTGGATTTCTGATAAAGCAAAGTAATGATGAAGTCAGGAGTGAATGTGGAATGCTAAGCTCTGTGCCTCAGTTTGAATTGCAGGGAGGGTCAAGAATCCCCCCCTTCCCCTTTTACACAAGAGACTTTTCAAATATCCTATGTGCTGGCTTTCAAAGGCAATCAAATTTGCCTCCTTTGATCCTTTTTTTTTCTCTTCCTTTACTGAGGCAGGATTCCTTTGTCTTCGTATCAAGCCAGGAAGGGGCAAATTCCCCCTCTTTTTCTCTTCATTGAAAGAAGTGCTGTGTCTCAAATTACAACTCCTAACTCAGAACCAATTTGTAAAAGAAAGGGAGGGGCCAAGTATCTCTCATCCATCCTTGTATTCATCCAATTACAAACCCTTTCCAAACGCAATGAGAAAGTTTCAGAAATCTTGCTGGCATTTTTAGAAAGGAAAACTAATTTTGCCCTGCTCATTTCAGCTGAAAGGCTTTGCATTTTTCCAGCTCAGAGGCAATAAGAGAAGCTTCTCCAGCTGTTTTTACAACTATTCTGGCCGTTTTATTGGGGGTCATAATTCATTACTGACAAACCATCTTCAAAGCAAAGAAGGCTAATCCTAGCAACATTTTAAAAAGGAACAATTTCTCTTTCTGCTCAAAACCTTAAAATTTCTTCATGTTCCCCTATCTTTATTAAATAATTTTTAAAAAAACATATAACACTTCAAGAAAACCTTTGGAGTGTTGCATTCGATTGATTGGTTTTTCTTCCAGCAAGGAAACAATAAATTCCTCTGGAGTTCACCCCCCCCCCCCCCCCCCCC